CCTGGATCTTTGAAGTCACATGGGTCTTTTTGCCATGCTACAATTCACCCACAGCCAACCAGCCTTCATCACTGCACTGGGTGAGAGATGATTCACCTTGACCCATATTGGACACTTAGTGGAAAACACCTTCCAGCATGTTCAGAGTCCTGCTGGAGGAAATCCAGCAGAGTAATGAGGGAAATGTCACACTTGGTAGCCTCTTCACCACACACGTTTTCACATTGTATATACATGGGCCTGACATTTTGTCCTGCAGTGCACAGAGTGATGCAGTAATTTTAAACTGACAAAAGGCCATTGTGTACCCTCCATAATTTTTTTATGAATCTCTCCCACCCACTTTGAAGAATTAGATATCAGAACATGTTTGCAATATTTGATCTTAAACAAAGAATTTAATTACGTGCAGGACTTGCCACACCAGTGGCCTTGGATTTAATCAACATACGTCAGTTACATTACCATATTGTGGAAGCCTGTTTCATTAGCTGATGAAAGACTGTCAATGTGTGAGATTACAATCATAAAAAGGGATTGACACTGAGAATGACTTAAAATGACAAATATCTTAAAGTAGTAGTAGCAGTCTTTATCTCTCTATGCAAGAGGTGACAAGTGGTCAGTGGTGGAAGAAGTATTTTGATTATTTATCTGATTAAAATGAGTGCTGCCACAATGTAACAATATATGTTACATGTGAAAGTTCTGCATTTAGCATTTTACCTAACTAAAGGTACTGCCGTACTATCAGTAAAAGGTACTTAAAGTATCAAAGATAAATACAATCGTTACACATAATTGCCCCTGCAAACTGTAATATCATTATTAATTACAATTACAATACTGATCTTATTAATTCATTAGGATATTTGAAGCATTTTAATGTTTCAGCCGCTTTCTTTGGAGCTAAATTGAACAGCTTTATAAACTGTCAGGTAGTTTAATCTCAAACAATTAGTCACATTCTGTGTATAAAAACCAAATCAGCAAAGTAGTATCTGTAGTTGTTAGATAAACACAGCAGAGTATAAATTAGCAAAAAAGTTAAGTACAAGTACTTTAAATCTGTAATGGAAAATAATCACTAGATTCCAAGAAAACGAACAAACCTGACTATCTTGAGGAAGTAAAAGTTGTAACAAGGTTTTTGTAGGAGAACCCGCAGAAGGATATAACAATATAAGATGCAGTAAAATTGGTCCATGCATTTGTTACCTCGAGGCTGGATTACTGCAGTTCCTTATTATCAGGTTACTCCATTGAGTCTTTAAAAACTCTCCAGCTGATCAAGAATGTGGTGGCATGCGTACTAGCTGGAACTACAAAAACAGATCTTATTTCTACTCTCCGCTTGTCTGCATTGGCTCCCTGTAAAATCCTTCTCCTCGCTTATAAAGCTTTAAATGGTCAGGTGCTGTCATATCTTAGAGAGCTCATAGTGCCATATTATCCCACCAGAACACTGCGCTCTGAGAACGCAAGGTTACTCGTGGTTACTAAAGTCTCCAAAAGTAGATCAGGAGCCAGAGCCTTCAGCTATCAGGCTCCTCTCCTGTGGAATCATCTTCCTGTTGCGGTCAGGGAGGCGGACACCGTCTCCACATTTAAGACTAGACTTAAGACTTTCCTCTTTGATAAAGCTTATAGTTAGGGCTGGCTCAGGCTTGCCCTGTACCAGCCCCTAGTTAGGCAGACTTAGGCCTAGTCGGCCGGGGGACCTCCTATAATACACTGAGCTCCTCTTTCCTTCTCTCCTTCTCTCTCAGATTCTGAAAAGTTGGTTCTTTATTTGATAACATTCATGTCCTATTATTACACATCACTAACTCAGCTTCTTCTCCGAAGCCTTTGTGTCTTGCAGGTTCCTTTGAATTGCAGCTACGCCTGGTCGGTGTGTCATGGTCCTGCTTGATGCCTCCTACTATTGCTGTTATTATTAGTCACACTTCTACTATTATTATACACATGTGATTATTATTGTCATATACATATACTACCATATGTTAATATATATTTATAACATAAATACTACCAAAACATTATTATTATTATTGTTATGTTATTATTATGATTATTATTATTATTAAAAAAAATTGTAGCTACTGTCATTACTGTTTGCTGTGCATCTCTGTCTGTCTCTCTATCTCTTTATGTATGGTTTTGTCATATGGATTATTGCACATTTATTATGTTGATCTGTACGACATCTATTGCACAATGTCATTATACACTGTGAGGGTCCTAAGGACAGAGGGATGTCATATGCTGTAAAGCCCTCTGAGGCATATTGTTATTTGTGATATAGGGCTTTATAAATAAAATTGAATTGAACTGAGTATTCTGGCCATGTCCTAGGCTAAGTGCATTCTGGAGAGAGGTATTTAAAAATCTCCTTTGAAAACCCCACAGTGGCAACACTAGGAAGAATTCCTAAAGGCCTGGATGGGAGGGCCAAGAAATATCTTTGAAATGTATCACTCACAGTTGCCTTACGTAGATGGCTAAAACCAAACTCTGCCACAGACAATACTTGGATTCATACAGTATGGGACTTTTATCAGATGGAGCCAATTACATACTTATTCAGGGTCAAAGACTCCAACTGTCACTGAGTGATGGAGCCCTGCCATGGCTTTATTAATACATTGAGGTTTATTATCCAGTGGTGCTCTGCACTTCTGCATAACTCATTTTTACATTCTCTTTATACACACTTCACGTACCCTCCTTTCCTAGAATTAATATCAAGCCTGTGTTTTTGTGTTATTACACTTGGAGTGGACAATTATTATTGTTATCATTATTATTATTATTATTACTATTATTAAAATTGATATTTATCTTCTTTTACTTATTTTATGATGTATATGTAAACTAAATAAAAAAAGATTTAAAAAAAGTAATTGTACTTAAGTACAGTCCTCAGTACTAAAATGTACTTTGTTGTACAACTGCACTCTCTGTTCTGCAAACTGCTGCATGTCTGATGATGCCGGGCAGATGACCTGGTGTGATCAAACACAACTGGAGCTCAACATATTCATGTTCCCACAAGGACATTCAGCTCACCTGTGTGATTGATTCTTATAAATAGGATTTGTTCACAATGGGGTATGTATGAGTATGTATCTCATCTCTCTCTCTCTCTCTCACACACACACACACACACACACACACAAACACAGATGTCTATCTTTGTTTATAATGAAGCTCTAATTGAAGTGGATGTGACAGAAGAGAAGGGTCGAGCAGAATAACTTAAGGACAAGGTGAAAACCCTCAGCGTCAAGTGCTATAGGATGGGACTTTTCACTTAGCTGTAAGGACAGGACTGCATCTTAAGTCTTCTTTTCCTACGATGACTTTTTCCTTTTTTCCTCAAGAACACACATTGCCAATCACACCCATATATTCTGGCTATGTCCTGTACTAAGTGTATTGTGAAGAGAGGTATTTGAAAACCTAAAAGAGGTCATGCAACAGGATATTCCATAAGACCCCACAGTGGCACTACTGGGAGAAATACCTATATGCCTGGATGGAGGGCCAAAAAATATCTTTTAAAGCACAGCATTATTTACAGCAGGTTTCCATCAAAAGCTGACTGATGATCGGAAACCAACCAGTCCGACAAGGAGACAAACGGCAGAAAAGTATGTAAATTATATATATACAAAATAAACATTTCTTGCAATTAACAGAAAGGTATTTCATTATTCAAAAGCTTTAAAGAATGTTCATTTTAAGTTTTACTAGCATCTCTCTCTCTCTCTCTCTATATATATATATATATAT